TCAAGCTTTACATACAAACAGACCATAACAATTTATTTTACTGCTTGCATTAGGAAAACGATCATCATACAGATAGTATTACACAGGTAGAAGAATAACCTTAAAACAACACTAAGGAATTGAACTCAATGGAACGAATTTCCTAGTGTCCTGTGGTGGAGGTTGCTCAGAGCTAGCAGCTCAGTCCTTTGGTACACAGAATAAAAGCCTCCGCAGCATTTATGTAAATTCCTGCCTCAGTAAAGTAGGCTTGTCACTCGTCAGCTTTTGTGAATGCACAGTCACTTGCTGTTTCTTCAGCAACAATTCTGTCTGCTGCAGCCTCTGGCTTTAGCCTTCAGTTTCTGAAATGGAAATTACTGGATAATAAACATAGGGCCTTTGTGAGATTGGAAGGGGTGGGGGCGAAGAGTCAAAAAAATCAATTTCCCCCAATTTTTCCCTTCTCATTGCATACTAGTGAATTATATTTTCCTCCCATTCAATGGTCCGTCAATGGCCCAAAATAGGGGATTCTAAAGGAAAACACAAAACATTGGGCCAGAAGCTCCCCTAAATTCAGCAAAAGGTGTGTTACTTTTTGAGTTGAAAGTTGTAGGACTGCAGGGGTTTCAAGATTTCTTAATCAAAAATAGAATACCTACATTTTACAGCATTACATTTGGCAATATGCATGGCTGCAGGGCCTTCTGATTCAGGGTTGGCTGGAGGGGATGGTGGTGAACATTTACAATGCATGGAACTGCTTTTTTTTTTTTCAGCCTAAGCTTGGAACAGGAAAACTAATCACAGTCTTGAAAGTGACCCGCACTACTTTCTCTGAGGGGAGCAATACTATTGACTGTGATGCTCATTGTAAAAAGTAGTTGGAGATGGGCAGCAGTTTTCCTATCAATTACATTCCTTTCTCCTGCCTTGATGGAAGGAAAGCATGTTGCTGTTGCTTTGTGAATGGATGCTGTTTACACTTACAACATTACACTATTGTGGTCCGCTGGCGGCCTGCGGAGCTGGCAGCAGAGTCGGACAATGAGGAGGTTGGGGAAGAACATGGGCCAGTCCTGGAGTCTGGGAAAGGCTTGGACGAGGGCTCTGTGTCGGAAGCAGAGAGGGGTCAGGGCCATCTGGGAATTATGTGCTGCCTCCAGAGCTGGACATCAGTGAGGCAGAGGAACAGGGGGACCCTGTTCCCAGTGCGCGCATGCTCAGAGCTGCCAGAAGGCAAGAACAGTTAAGACAAAAGGGACAAGTCAGGAGTAGGGCTTGGAGATGATTGGCCCCTCCCATAAGACATAAAGGAGGAGGAAAGGCAAGTGAGCCTTTGCAGGAAGCAACTTTGTTCGTTCTGGCCGGTTTAAATTCTGAAGCTCCGTTTTGACTCTGTGCTCCATGTGGCCTTGCAAAGCTAATTGCCAATTAGGTCTTTGGCAGCATGTCAAGGGAGATAACGGTGGGTGCTTATCAGCCTTATCCCTAAGGACTGTGGCAGACCTCTGTCAAACTCTTTACAAATTATTTGTGACTCATTACAGGCTGGGAATGAACAGAATTCACAGCCATTGAAATAGAGGGGTTTTGGGACTAATCGTGTGTTGTTTACTTCTAACACACGGCTTCTTGTCATTTCCTTTAATCTATATATTTAGTGTCTCCAAGGATCTTGTTTCTTCTACGTCTAACTTCTTTTGGTTACAGCCAATGTACTCAAGTTTAAGTTCCTTGCCATTTTGCACCAAACCTTAACCCTTCTTTCTCAACTCTAATGCAATCTTCTGGTTGCAGAAGGATCATAAGATGCAATCACATATTGATTAGCAATTCATTCTCAGATATGAACCACCACAGGGAGTTTGCCTTTTGGAAAATTTGGCTGAAGACATAAAGTGGATGACTTCAAAAGTTAAGAGATAGCGCAAGCCAGACAACCAATTGCCATGAAAGTAATAAGCATATCCCCTCTAGATAGGATTTGCATCTGTACGGTAAGAGAATTCCGCTCAGGTGATTAAAATCTCTGAATGAATGAATTTTGGACAGTGACTCCCATCTGACAATGTAAGCAAGACTACAATTCAGTGAAAAACTTTAGTGTGGATATGTTGAAGCATACCAAACGATTATGCTGAACATCTCTCAATCCTGATCAGGCTTGAGGTTTTGCTTGTAATAATGTTATTCCCTTTTCTCTATTGGAAAGCTGTTGATACAAAATTGTTTGGTGAAGCTTGAAGCCAAACCTGTTTCGCAAACAATGATTTGCCACATTTCATTTCTTATATATGATTCATACCAGTGAAAGCTGCATCCTTGTTACAACATGTATAGCTCATGAATATATTTTTTTTCTAATGGAAGTTCAAAGTGTAAACATGACATCTAGAACAATGGTGCTTGCTTTAAATTGCTTTAAATTGTAATCTGCTTCAGATGTTGATAATTTGTTGCAAACCATGGTTTACTTAGTAAAACATAACTGGGTTCACACAATTTGCTAAACCCCAAATGAACCAACCACTGACTTAATATGACATATGAAATCAATGTATCAAACACCCTGACTGAATTTGTCTTCAATGTAAAAGATATTTCAGTGAGAGGAATGTAAAGGGGTGGTTAAGAGATGTATTACAAAATACGAGATGTAACTAAAATTTAATGAGTTTGCTAAGAAGAGTTGGCTGAATTTTGCCCTACATGTCAATAAAACTTTGTATTAAATCTGAATGAGTCTTAAAAGGAATAAATAAGCTGTCTTACATAGAATCAGGTTGTTAAGTTATTGCATGGATTAACAATAATTTAGCATTATTTGAACCAAGAGTTTTTTTCCCAGCCATTTTTGAAGTTCTGAAAATCTGAGACCTTTCAAATGTAACACATGCATTTTATCACTGAACAGTCTTTATTTATTTATTTATTTATTGGTTCGATTTATATGCCGCCCTTATCTGGAGATTCAGGGCGGCTTACAATGCGTTAAGCAATAGCCTTCATACTTTTGTATATACCTGCTTAGTAGGACTTTCGCCCCCCCCAAAGTGGTGTTCTTTTTTGTACAAAGTCAGCTTGTTGCCCCCACAAACCGGGTCCTCATTTTACCTACCTCGAAAGGATGGAAGGCTGAGTCAACCTTGAGCCTGGTGAGATTTGAACTTGCAGTAATTGCAGGCATTGCAATTACTTCCCCAAATGAGATCATACACTTTATCAGGAAGACGGAAATTGGATTAAACAGTTGTAGAAAACTGTGTGAGTTAAATTTATCTGTGTGCCCATGCCTGATTCTCTGATTCCTGTATTTAAAAAGTTGTGCTATTTACTCATTCTAAGCCTCCCAGAGTTGCCGTATTATGGAGATGGGCAGCATATAAATTTATTAAAAAACACATAATAAATAAAGGAACTAAATGATCAGTGTAATGCTGCAGTTTCTTACTAGATCACTTACTAGATCACTAGTTGCACTGAACTCAATTAAACTCCAGTAGATGTTTTGTTGCTGAAAACAAAGTATTTTATAGATGATTGTGTAGTAGATTTAATGTGGCTATGGAATACCACAATGATTTTTATAAATCATAAAATTGAACTTTGTGATATTTTTGGAAACAGCTCTTATTCCTCAAATTTTTTAATGTACCTACTTTATTTGTTGTTCTATGGATCATCACGTGTGCTCTGTAGAATTCCACTGATGAATGTGTTGTTTTCTATCTTTCAAAAGCTGATTCAATGTTGTTTACATATACAATTAGCAAACTTAAGTACTGTTGCCAAAATTATTCTTGAATTTTCTAATTTTAATCATTCAGACTGATAATTTGGTAGCAACTTTGTTCTACTAGTTGTCACTCTGCTTCTGTGGCTCCAGTATTTAGCTCTAAAATATTAAAAGCAGGCTTTAATATTTCATAGAGATTTGGCTGACTTTCTAGATCATACATCAAGAAACCCAGCTTGCAAATATCAATTATAAAAAGGAATACTAGAAAGAAAAAAAAAATCTCAGGAACTTCAACCAGCAGAAAATGTTGTTTCATTCTTTTTCTAAGTTTTGTTTTACATTTGGTAAGTTTTCATTGACCAAAACAATATAAGAGCAGCGAGCTGAAAATTGGAAACACAAAGCTCTGCATGGCCAATACTTGAAAAGTATTGAAGGCAAAGCTGACCAGAAACTAACTTGGAACTGGTTAAGATCAGGAGTACTGAAAAAAGAAACAGAAAGCTTTATTTTGGCAGCTCAAGAACAAGCCCTAGCCACAAACTGTATGAAGGCAAAAATTCAACATGTTACCACCGACAGCAAATGCCGCCTCTGCAATGAAAAAGAAGAGACAGTTGACCACCTGATCAGTGGGTGCAGCAAAATTTCACAAACTGACTACCTACAACGCCATGACCGTGTTGCTAAAATCATTCACTGGAAATTGTGCCAGAAGTTTGGATTTGAGTACAGCAAAAACCACTGGGAACATCAGGTTGAGAAAGTTTTAGAGAATGAGAAACTCAAGATCTTGTGGGACTTTAGGATTCAGACTGACAGGCACTTGGTCCACAACACACCTGACATAACAATAGTTGAAAAGAAAAAAGTATGGTTCATTGACATTGCAATACCTAGTGATGCACGAATTGAAGATAAGCAGCAAGAAAAAATCACAAAGTACCGGGACTTACAAATTGAAGTTGAGCGACTGTGGAAAAAGAAATCGTGTGTTGTCCCGATTGTAATTGGAGCCCTCGGAGCAATACCCAAAGGGCTACCCCGCTATTTAGAAATCCTAAATTTGCTGGACTTGAACATTTTGACTCTACAAAAAACCACCTTACTCGGAACAGCTTACATCCTCCGACGATACCTTAACAGTTCCTAGGTCCTTGGTTAGGACTCGAGCTGCTGAGCTATTAACCAGCCTCAAAGGCTGTGAATCTCACTAAAGATTAACCAATAAATAATAATAATAAATGTAATTCAAAGATAGAAAGAAAGAGAGGAAGAGGGAGCAATCACTATCACTTTATTGATGAAGTGTTTTCCATAACTAAACAAAGGTTTGAACAACATTGGAGTTACATAAAGAGATTATCTTAAAAGGATTTTCATCCCAAGAAAAAGGAAACCAACCTTTCTAAATGAAAATCAAAACACATTAGCGACTGATATTGTATCTTTCTACATTTCAAAACAAAATCTCTATTCTGAACAGCCCCTTATTTTTCAAATTTCATTTTTAGTAGTACTTTTGCAAGGTAAGCCTGAATAAAGTAATAAACACAATATTCATGCTGTAGCAAAGAATCTCTCAAACTACCATTTATAAAACATTGTGGAGGCACACATTCAAGCAAGCATGAATGCTACCTTTATCCTTGTCACTCTTTCAGTTTATTTAAAAACTTTCTGTTAGAAAATCTGAAGTGCTTTACCCGGCAGAAGTTTGATAAAATAATCACCTTTACACTTGTCTTTTATTTGTACAATAATATCAAGTTTCCATATATTATCAGTATTTTCAAGATGAATCATGCCCAAACCTTTTTACAGGAATGTATACAGTGCTGAGTTGAACACATGAACTTATACAACCACTACGTTTAGAAATGGGCAATGAATAATATGGAATTTTTTTACTGCAAGATGACATTAAGCAGGAGACAAGATTCGGCTTAGGGGTACATTCCACACATTACCTAGAATACGGGATGTAACGCTGATACAGATGCAGCCACTCAGGTTTTGATTTGCACTTTTCCATTAGCAGACCCCATTACTTTTTTATCCTATTTTCATCCAAAAGGACTAAAGTATGATACACATATTTTGCCTGGGTTAGTAGAGCCACACTCTAACCCCGTTGTACCCGAAAAGGAAATAGTTTTAGGCTAGGGAACTGAAATCACCCAATGGAGGCCAGTTACTTTGCCCTGGGCAATCAGACTGTTTTAGGACAGGACCTTGAAAATTCCACATGGCTTTGAATCTGGTGTCAGCTGATAAGGAGTTAACCTGCTGAAATCATGTACTGCACCTCAGCCTGCACGCTCTCCCCTTGTGTTAGATTTTCGGTAAATAAGTGAGCACGTTTTTTTTAAAAGAACAACCAACAAGCCTCAAGGTCACATTTTAATTTAGTCCTGTTGTTTTTAAAGTGAGGGCAAGAATCTGACCAAGGAAAGGAAGAATATAAGATATTTCAGAAAAACATGGGGAAGGCAATTTTTTTCCTTGCTAAAGTCTCCCCAAGTCTCATGATTTGGGAATACATGCAGTCAACACTCACAGAATTAGATAATTTTAAATTCTGGATTTAGTTATATAAAAAAAGAGCTCTGGCTATTGCTTAATTACTGGTAGATTTAATAAAGCAGTCTTGCTACACTTGGGAGCTTTTCTGGTCATGCTGAGTGGGTGCCGGGCATCTCTTCCCCAAATCCTGCCCTGATACCATCACTGAATGTTAGAGCCAGTAATCAAAAGTGGAAAAAGCAAAAGTCATTGCTTGAAGATACTAGGGTTGCCTTGCAAGCTGAGTTTCATATTTGGGGTACTGTCTGTGATATCGGCACTACCAGATGGTGAACACTTTCATGAAAGAGCAACTTTTTAAAAAGAGCAGACTGGATTTTGCTTCCCTTGGACCGGTACAAGTAAATAGGCAAGCAGGACAGTCCTTTGATTTCTCAGAAGCCTAATGAAAAAGAGCGGAAATGTGGACTAAATTTTCTTGATCGGGATTCCCTGCGCACAGTCACTCATGCCCTCGTCACCTCTCGCCTGGACTACTGCAGCACTCTCTACATGGGGCTCCCCTTGAGGGGCACCTGGAGGCTCCAACTGGTCCAGAATGCGGCCGCGCGGGTAGTTACGGGAGATGCATGGTGCTCCCATACAACATTTCTCCTGCGTGAGCTGCATTGGCTCCCAGTGGTCTTCCGGGTGCACTTCAAAGTGTTGGTTATCACCTTTAAAGCGCTCCATGGCATAGGACCTAGTTATCTTTGAGACCGCCTGCTGCTACTGATGGCCTCCCATCGACCTGTGCGCTCCCACAGAGAGGGCCTCCTCAGGGTGCCATCAGCCAAACAATGTAGGCTGGTGATCCCCAGGGGCAGGGCCTTCTCTGTGGGGGCACCTACCCTCTGGAACCAACTGCCCCCAGAGATAAGGAGAATCCAAGACCTCGGTGCCTTCCCCTGTGCCCTTAAAACTTTTTTTTTCCAGCAAGCTGTGCTGGCTTAACACTTTTAAATGTTTTTAATTGGTTTATCATTGTTTTTTAATTACGGGGCCAAATTTATATATATCTTTTTAATAGTATTTTAATGTTTGTAATTTATGTTTTTATTTGGCTGTACACCACCCTGAGTCCTCAGGGAGAAGGGCGGTATATAAATTTGATATAAAATAAAAATAAAATAAATAAATAAAAAGTATAATTGGATTTGGAAATAAAAGGGAGAAAAATTCTTTTCCATGGAAAAAGGTGATACTGGAAAAGAAATGTTGCAATTGTAAACATTAAATGTAGAAGTTAGGCTTTCCAAAATCAGATAAATGGGCAGATATCTGCAAAGCTTGCCAGTTTATGGATGAAGATAGAGGTGGAGTTGGAATTATAATGGTATCTTGGTACTCATCGTGAATTGGTTCCGGGAGGTGTGATGAGTATCAAAAACGATTAGTACCAAACAATCTTTTCCATAAGTCACAAGGCCAACACCAACAAGTTCTAGCTTGTGCATTGAGTACCAAACAAACAATGAGTACTGAACAAAATTTTCATGTCAGAATGCATTGAGTATCAAATTTGATGAGTTTCAAAGCAGTTGGGTGACTCATTTGGTTGGCAAATCAACTACCTATTAGTTAGGATTTACTTCCACAAGACAAGCCCAGAATGATTCTCTAGATTTACTTTCTGTAATATTTTTTCTTTAGCATTAAAATGCATGTAAGAAAGGTGTGTTTTCTATTTTTATGTATGAAAAGGCAAATGTTGTCTTGGAAACAGACTTATCTGAAGTTTATTGCAAACAGAGAATGTGCTAGTGCAGATTTCCTCAAATTGGAGACTTCCATATGTTAAGCTTCAATTCTCATCCTTGTGTTGATTAGAAATGCTGGGTGTTGTAGACCAGGGGTGTCAAACTCACATCGTCATGGCAGTGTCACATGACGTATTGAGACTTTTTCCCCCTTCGCTAAATTGGGTGTGGACGTGGCCAGCACGTGATGCATCTGGCCTGCGGGCTGGGAGTTTGACAGCCCTGTTGTAGACCAATACATCTGGAAGGCATAATCTGGGGGAATAATCATACAATGACCAAGACAGGTGATTGTACAGGTCAGATCCCAAGTACATTATAAAAGCATTATCATTCTGATACTAATTCATATCTCAAACCTATGTCTATCCAATTCAAAATTACTCGAATTTAAATAGCAGTTACGTGCTCATCAGGGACTATAGAAATATAGCCTAAACCATTTATCTGTTGTTTTCTGCAACACAGGACTGGACAATGTAAAACATAGTTCTGTGTATAGCCATATGTTGGATTTTGGTCTGTAGAATATTACAAGTGCGTGTGATGATCTTGACAGGCCAATTCCTAAGTAAGCAGGTGCATAGGAGGGGTGGGGAATTGGTGACACTCTAGATGTTGCTAAAAAAATTCTCCTTACTGCCCTTGTGGTCAAGGATGATACAAATAATGTTTCAGCAACTTCTGGAAGGTAACCGATTTCCCATCCATTATCAAATTATGTGAGAATGGGAAAAATGTTGTTTTAAGTAATGATAACAGGAACTGTCTATTTGGAAGATTTATTTCTTTGTAAGGAAGAATTTAATAGGAAAATTACTAGTGGAAACAATATTGTCTGGATCTACATCATGAACAAGGTAGGGCAATTGTGCAACAACAAATTACAAAACAATCTGAATTAAAGTTTCACCATGTTTAGTGACTGGCTAGTTGGATTAATTTGCAAACCACATTTATTAAGTAATTAGAGCAGCCAAGACAGAAGGACTCCAATCATAGGCAAAAATGAAAATCTGGATCTTAAGATAACATTTCAATATGTATTACCACCTCTGCTAGAAAATGTCAGCCTCTTTTTTCCCCCCCAAAGTCTTTCTGGTTTGCAAGTTTTTTCTAAGACCTAAAGGAAAGGGCAGCGTGCATGTGGTCCAGCAGAAAGACATCAGCAGAAATTCCATCTGCCAAGTCATATGAGTGAGCAGGTACAGAGGAATAGTAATTCAAGCTGCATACATCAGAACACCAAATATTTGCTGATAATATCACTTGGCTGAATAGAAAATATATGTACTGAAATTTGCTAGAACAAAAGGGTAATCTCAAACAGACATTAGTAACTAGGAAAGGTCTAATAAACTGCCATGTCCTCCTGATAATTTTTTCAGGAAACCACCAAGGCTACTCAATGGAAGAACAAGGGACAGGAACAAATTTCAGCTTCTGAGAAAGTTTGGGTAATGCCTCTCTCTAAGACCCATAGGAAAAATCTTTTCAGGGGGACTGAAGTACTTTAAGCCCAACTAACTTTGGAAGAAAAATGACCACATTCTCTGCTAGATGGTGCACAATTATAGATCCAGCTTTGCTTTCCAGGAATTGCTTCAGCAGATCTTGCAGAATGGTCACATCACTTTTTAACTGTTTTTCATCACCACCAGCACCACAAGTGGTTTCACCATTTAAAAGAGAATTGCTGAAGCAACAAATACAGAAACATATTTCTTTATATTTAAAACAGACTCTATACTACAAGGAAAACTGAGTTCGTAATTTTAACTCAGTCTATTGATTGTGTTCTTCCATTTGCTTTTGTCAATAACATCCTAAAACGAAAAGAAAAAAAATGGTACATGGCCTAAACAATGTTTCCTCTATTTTGTTTAAACAAGATGTGTTATTGTCACTTTTGCAGAAATGCATCACAAACATTCCTGTTTTAAGTTAGACTGCTGGCTTTTTGGATAGCAGGGACTATATGTTTTAAAACTAAATGACAAGGTGAACCTTTCCCCACATGTCATCCAAATAAGGAATATATTTGGTTCATATGTGTTTAGTGAGATGGTAACTATAGCTTTGTATTTCTCAATTGAGAAAGTCTTGCTGAAGACTTTTGCACTGGTATTATGTAAATTCTGCATGTGTCTTCAGTGAGCAAGGTTAGGAATTTAAACAGCATAGGTCACTGGGTTTTTTTGTTCATTTGAAAGTCCTAGTAGTGAAGGAGAATAATGGAAAGTACAGTGAAATTGCTGGTGTGCATGGATAAAGAATTCCATGGGTCAAGGTTAAGTTTGCTTTCATAGTTTCAACTAAGCAAACATTGGTGCTTTGTTCCAAATGACCAAGTCCCAACAATCCTGTTCCCAAAAGCATATAACTGGAAGTTTTAGCATACTGTGAGCACACCAAAAAGGAGTTAATTAACACAATCAGGTAACCCGATGGAGGTTACAGTTAATTGAAAACAGATCTAGATTTATATAGAGTAAACTAATTTCACCCTGTCAGTTGGATCAGGAAAACACCAACGTTCTCTCAGTTACTCTATTTTGCCAACCTAGTTTTCCAAAAACAAAGGAGAATGAAACAAAAAGATTTGGTGAAGAAGAGTAGTTGACCAAGAAAGCCTCTCCATTACAGAACTCATTGCTCCAACTGGCAACCAAGAACACACTTCACAAGTGGATTGACTCTAAGGCCCCCAGCCACCACTACTGTTATCCTTTTGATCATTGGGACGAAGTCAGTGATGGATGAATCATGATCAGGGAATCTCTCTCTACTCTGAATGAGTTTAAACTTCCAGCTCTAGATGAACTGTATCCTAGGTCACCGATGGAACTAGGAGATGTTCTGGCCATATTCTAATATTCTAACTTTGAGAAATCTGGAACACTGGTGAAATGCCACATGACTGGAGAGCAAAAGTTGTCTTTACCCTAACTTCAAGAAGGGAAAAGAGAAAGAAATTATAGACTTGTCTGTCATTGATATCTGGGTCAAATCTGGATCAGATCATACGTCTTAAACTCTAAACTTCTTAAAAATGCTATGATTATGAGACATCACCATGGATTTGACAAGAATGAATCTTTATCAACTTAATTTTACCTCATTTTTAAAAAAATGTCTACCCTCTTTAATGAATTATGGGAAAGCTGTTGAAATACCTTTACAAAACATCACAGGTAAAATGTGGCAGAATAGCCACATAGCCAGAATAGCCAATATCAATTAACCGTTTATAGCCAGGTTGAAAATTGTACTTAAGGAGTATTCAGATTTGATAGAAACATCAAGTGGCTTAGGCTGCCAGAAGTATCAGCCTTGGTTCCTGTATTTAATATTTTCATCAATGGCTTAGATAAATCAGACAGGATTCTAATACCTTAGAAGACAGGAGTAATGGAGCCTAAAACGTCTTTCCCAATTCTATAATTCTTCACTTTAGATGTTTTGGCTCAGGGGATCATGGGATATTGGGCACTTTCTGAAGGAACTGGACTCCTCATTGGCTCATGCATTGTATGTACCAGGAAAAAGAAGTGCAAAACTATGCAAACCCTGCAATCATGCAGGATAATTGCTAACAAAACTATCCTTGATGTATGCATGTATGTAGCCTAATTTAATGCCTTATTCACATCACAGCTCAGATGTATGTTCCTGCAATTACATACATCCAGAAAGGAGATGATTGGAAAGCCTGCATTTTTTCCCTAAAAGTGTATTTTCCTGGACACGTTATTAGATTCTAATCATGTAATTTTCTTCACCATAGTGACTATTAGCAAAGGCTAAATCTGTTCCCAAGTAATTTTGATGTAATAGACTGCAATTTTTTATTAAACCCTCAGTTGAAAAGAGGTATAAAATTAAATTCAATAAGATTCACAACTGTGTTAAATCTGAGAAAGTATTGACTGAATGCTATAACAGTGGAAGAATAAGGAAATATACGAGTTTAAATAACTATAGTACAATGCCATTGTGTACTGAAGGAAGTCCTGTTGTCTTCAAGATTATTATGTGTGTGTTAATAGAGGAAGCAAATTTTAAAATGTATACTAAGAAAACATTTGGCACCGTAATCTATTTTAAGTAATCTGAATGCCAAGGAAGGGGAAACATATACCAATAGAATCTGACACAAAGATAGAGCCATTTGATCAAAACAGGAAGGAATAGGAAATAAATACTCTATTGGATACAACCTCATATAATTGTTTCAATTTGGCCTTTGTAAGAATTTTATAATTTTAATAACTGAGTCTGAATCTCCTTTCTCACTTATCCTTCCCCACCCATTTTTCTATGCTGTAATTACTGTACAACCTTGAAGCAAGCCCTGTCTTGCTAACAAGCAGGACAAAAAAGCTATGAATAAATAATTGTAAACAGGCAATGATTATCTCCATGTTTCATCCTAGGAATAGTAACACACCAAACTGCTATGGTATTTAGACAGTGATATGTCAGTCTAGGTGCAAAATATTAGCATGTGATTAAATGCTTTACTGAATCTATTTCTTATGCAAACATTTTGTCTAAAAGAAACCCAGATAAATGTCTTAACTTTTGCCAGCAAAATCCAGTACTAAAATTACTGCTTTCCTTTCAATACTTAGCAAACATTCTTTTGTATGGAACTCTTTAAAAAGTGAATGTGACATTGGGTAAACAGTTATGGTTATGGTTTTAATCGGTCAAAGTATTTATTCCATGATATGTCTCACTGTTAATATAATCTAATATGCTGGCTCAGAAAAAAACTTTAAGTTCCACTTCGCATTTGTATAATGTGAAGGAAAAAGCTGGTAAAGATGTGTTTCACAATTCATTTAACAATTAATTGCAGAATTACATGCAAGAGAGATTTCTGAAGAATGGGAAAGAAAAAACAAAAAGACATTTCTCTCCTTGCTGTTTTTTGAAATTTCATCACATAAAAAAGAAAGTTTTCTAACTGCACGGTGCTCATCACAATAACCCAGAGGTCTCCAAACTTGGCCGCTTTAAGACTTGTGGACTTCAACTCCCAGAATTCTCCAGCCAGCATAGCTAGAGCATAGAGAATTCTGGGAGTTGAAGTCCACAAGTCTTAAAGTGGCCAAGTTTGGAGACCTCTGCAATAACCTGACTCCTTCATTCAAAACAAAATTAGGCTTACTCCATAACCACACAACTGTTTATGGTGTTCCTATTCCCTCTCAAAGCTGACAGGAAATATGCCACCTAAATCTTGCTGCCCCCACAGAATACCCCACAGAATAATATCACGTGTCCAAAATGCATTTATGCTGCCTGTCCAGATTAAAGGCACCTCATTTTAAGATTCATGAATTCCAGCTCCAGTCGGGGTTATCCAGAAGGTGAAAAGCTTTTTCCAGTTGACATGCACTATGCTTTAAGTTACCCCCTTTCCATTCTTCTGCTGATTGACTGTACTTTGCTATTTTTATTCCTTGAAAGTGGGGGTCATCTGGTCAGCCTAATAACCTGTATATAGCAACAAAGAACCTTAGTTTGGTTTCCAGATCTGGTAGTTGAGATTCAACCAGTGGGTAAGAGTGGCATCTGAGGAAGGACTTAGTCATATGAAATGTGTGACAGCTGTAATTTATCCTAAGAATAGATGTAAATAGAGGGAGCAAAGCACCACAGGATTTCCTTGGAACAGCAGCCATTGGGAAAAGAATTGCCAATCATACAGGCTACAGAAGCACCAGAGACAAGTCTATTTTTGCATCCATTCTAAGTGAAAATCAGAGATGGGCTAGTCAATTTCAGGACCTTTCACTCCCAAGGTTAACCAGCTGACCCTGGTGGTGAAATCTGGGTTTCCTTGACGCCCAAATAGGACTGAAGAAACAGGCAGAATTTACTGCGGCCTTGACAATGCTGGCATAGTACAGGTAATTTCAGGCTGATCCTCCAATGACCATTAAGTGCCCTGCATTGTTTGAACGCAGCATCTATGTTAGCAAAAATAGCCTTGCAGAATATAGCCATCAGTTGTGGAAAACCACTGAGATAACACGAGAGGGAATGATTACTGGGCAGGGAGGCTGGGTGGATTTGCTCTTAAATCCCAAGCAAGCCCTTCAGCTTGACATTTTTCTTTTGGCCTTTACTAACATAATTGGCATGCCAGAGCGCAACCACCTTGCCGCTCTGTATATCCTCGGTGGAGGACCTTGTCTGTTGATATGTTTCAAGTATTTTTTTCTTTGAATTTTAATGATATGCAAGATGTTTCCTGAAAGTTCCAAAACCATATAACTGAGTGATAATGAGAATATCTAACTTATTTTGAAATAGCCAAACCGAGAAAAATTGGTCCATTAAAGCCTAGTATTGGAAGGAATTAAAATAATACTGACTGGTTGAGCAACAGCAATGAAACAGAACCCACTTGGTGAAGAAATAATGATTCATATTTTCAGCTTCTTCTGTGATGGAATGGGAAGAAATTTCTTTCAGGAATTTAGGCTCCCTGAGGACTTAGTGTTAGGAAATAGCCCTGCAGGGAAGTGAGAGCTAGAGACATGATGGTTACAAATAAGCAGTGGCTTAAGAGGAATCAAAAGGAAAACCTGATGAACAGGTTTGTGATAAATTAATAAGAGGATATAAACAAGGTATTCTCCATAAAATGTGCTTCCTAGTGTTGAGAATATAAAAGGAATGCTGCATATGTAAGTTAAGAGATGATGAAGGGAAGGGATAAAGTGAGCAATGGCCTGGGAAGCAGAGACCTGATTTAAAAAATGGGCATTTTGGAAACCGTACCCAAGTGGGGAATTATGGGGGAGAAAGTGGTAAAACACAACACAACATTTAAGAGAAATGATTGTGTGTTATTGGCAGGAAGGAAGTAGACAAGGGAGCTTTGAAGGTTTAAGCCTGTGGTTGCAAGGGATCTGCTGGCATTATAGGTTCCCAGTGGATTAGATCTATAGAAATTGCAAAGAAAGGGAAGTGGGTCAGTTATAGTTTCTTTTGTCACCAGGGTATTATGGCTGAGTGAGGAAGCAAGCACACTAAGGATAAGGGAAGAAAGGCTGAAATTCACATAATAGTTTAAGTAGCTAGGCAGTTCTTTACTACCAGTATTTAGACCATTGCTAATTCATTGCTGATGAGATCAATCTATTTCTGTGCAACACCTTTTCTTTCCTTAAGAAAATCTAGATATATTTTGTCTTTGTTTTACAAAAGGGAATCACTGATAACCAAAACATTTTCAAAGTGAAAGATCAATGTTTTTTCCTTCGCTCCCATCAGAATTGGATCTCATACAGAGGTTGGTGGCTCTAATTTGGTGCATCTTATGGAATCTACTACCCAAGTGGATTCCTCCTTACTTTTTACTCCAAAATGAAGAAACAAACAAAACAAAAACAGAACAAATTTTGAATGATTACTGCACAAATGGCAAATGGCCACTCAAGTAAACTTTTTCATTGAACAGCTGTTAAAACTGAAGCATTGAAGAATAGTTTTCTAGAGCAGAGATGGGCAATGATATGATGGGCATACTGCAATTTTGAGAGCATGTAACAACAGAATATCTATCTTATCAGTGTGGAAATCATAAACAATAGATTTATCAAAAGGTAATTTTATTTCGACACCGCTTTCCTACCCCTCCATCATTGCTTGTTTCCACTCTGGATTATATCCTGAGCCGATGGGCCTAAATTCAAATAAAGCATTGTGCTGCCGGCATCAAGAGCTGCTATTTTCTACAAATGCTTGTGGGGCCCTGAGGCTAATATTCATTTTGCCATATGCCCATTTTTCAACTGAACTAGGTTTTAATTAAAATATTATAAAAGGCAAAGATAAGGAACTTGCGTGGGGGGAAGTATCAGGGGAGAGGTCAGGGCACAATCAGGGCACAATGGTATTAATAGGAACTAGGTTACCCACCACTTTTCTTTAGGCTGTGTGGAAGACATACTATAATCTTGTGTCGCATCACAGAGATACCTTAACTGAATACACAATCTGCTAATTTGGGTGCTTTGAAACAAGGCTTTTATTGTGCAATTGTCCTGGCTCATTCATGAATTTTTAAGAGGAGGAATATATCTAGAAAATGTTGTATTCCACTTGGAAACACTTGGTGTTTATTCACAATTTCTTTCACCCTTTTTCTATTAGGAAAAAAAGAAGAAGAAGGTTTTGGTAATGCTAGCTGCTCTCAGTCTCGAAGCACTCTGATTTCCTCATAAAAATGTTTCTAGTTAGGTTTTTATTGCACATTCACTTTGCATCTTCACTTATAACTTAGGTTTTTGCATGTGTTTGATCCAAAAATTAATGTCCTTGTTTCCATCCTTTCTTACAACTTTTGTTTTAACATATAATATTCATTAAGAAAGTGGAACAGTTGCATAACGTATTTTGAGTGGTAGGAGAAATTGGTTTCAAGCTTTTTCATTCCAGTTTTACCATCCCTCTAGTGAGTTGACTGACCTCAGGAATAAAAATAGATCAGCAGCCCTTACTTTCCATAGATTTAAGGGGATTCATCTGAAGTGCTAGACATACTTCCTAGGGAATAGGCTTGCTAGCATAATAATATTGAGAAAAGCATAAATGCACATAGGAGTGTAGAATTTTTTTGTTTGCAACAGAGTCACCAAGGATGTGGCAAGTTTACCAAGGATGCTTTGTGACTTTAAAGCATATTTCTGTAGTGACAGGGACAAACAATAAAGAACAGTTGTATCTTCATATAGCAACCATACTGAGAGGATTCAGTACAGGAATACAGAAATATAAACGGGAAAAAAATCAAGTTTTTTTCAGTTTTAGAGTCAACTTGTTAAAGATTAAAATACTGTCTAATCTTTTTTATGACTTGATTTTAACTTTTGTATACCTGTGTGTTTCTGATAAATATGACTGATTTAAAGCATGGTCTGCTAGTTGAAATCTTATGGAAGTAAATTTAAACTTAGTATATGCTTTGCTATGCCTAAGTAATAAGGGCCTAAGAAAATTTATCAAAACACGTTCATTCCTTACTCCAGCCTTTCTCCTGAATGTTTTTACCTTTTAGAATTGAGAACGTTTCTTAAAAAAAATAGAGCAAAAGTAACTCAAAAGTAATTTAAATTGTTATTGTAGCTGCCCTTGTTAAACCTTCATGTTTCTTTTTTTCAGTTTAAAGGCAGAGGGAGAGGGATTTGCATAAACACCAGTGCTTTCCACTGTTACTTCATACTCATCATAGCCGAAAGACGTCATAGAAATCATCTCATGATGCGGAAAATAATGGAATTCAAAACATTGGTTATGATAAGACATTGAAGAAGCAAAGCTGATGTGGATTCCATGACTGGATTGCTTCCATCTAGAACAGCAGCCTCATTGTTTCAGAGGCCACTCACCATCGGATGCAGATTCTTGCCCAGGTGGCAGTCCAATTGCTGTATGAAGAATGGGAGCTGGCCGAGGCTTTACAATGTCTCTCTTCCTTTCTCACTGGAGAAAGAGGTGGAATTTTGAGAAATAGCTATACTGCATGCCTGAGATTGCAAGACGGCTCTTGTACAGTAGATGCCACCCCTTATTTTTCTGGGATGGAGTATCTGGGATCCAGTGGTCCTCTCTCTTCTCAGTGCTTCCATCTTCTCAGTGATTGGATGAATGAACTAAGAGGCTTAAAATATACTTTGCCGCCTATTCTTTCCTCGAGCTGTAGAAGTAGGGAAGGAGAAAAATTAGATAATCTAAAGACTATTGACCAAAATCTGTGGCTTGGAAGATGAGATAAAAAAGATTTCATCACGATTCCTTCCTCTACTTTATATATGTAGGAGGAATGGAAATTAATATATTATTATATATATTATACATATATTTATATTTATATATATTTATCATTGATATTATTGACATATCCATAATATCAATCACTTTAAAAAGTGTCACTTTCAAATACAAAGAATACTACAAGAAATATAAAGGACATGCAAAACACCAGTAGTTTGTTTTGTTGTATCCCCGAAAAGTTTGTGGGAAGAATGTTTAGTTCCTGTCTCTGGCAAAATATTGCCAAATCTTACCTTCCAGTTTGATTTATCTTGCCATGGCAGTTGGCTCTGCTGAAAGTTAAACTACAGAAACATTTGGATGGCCAGAAATATCTCACTTCCACATTCACCACCATCTGGGATTCCTTATATTCATTTACCTGGGTTTCATGAGCTATCATGTGCTATGACTATCTCACCTGTGAAGGATCAATCATGATATATAACTAGCAAGGTATATAGGTGGGAAACAGATACTCTTATTTTTTAGAACAGCAGTACAGGCCACCATCTCTATGTCATGAGATCCGATCCCTAGAACATATTTGGATAGCTGATTGCTATGAATCACTGTTCCAATTTATATCAGAAAAATGTAGAATACAAAAGATTTCTGCAGAGCCTTCAGTCAAATTGTTTTCCACAAGAAGTTGGTACCTACCAACATGCTGGAAACTTGACCCTCGGCAGCCAGGGTCTTTTTGAAGTTGAATTTCCTTCAAAGAGAAGATGGAGGTAGCTAGAGGAGAGAAGGAAATGGAAACAGAAGTCATGGATTGGATTTCTTAGACGTCACTTGTCATTCTGATTCATTCTGTGTATGTGACCCAAGTGATTACAATGGATGGATGCCTACAAGTAAGTACACCTCTAGAAGACTGATTGGATTAGTGCTCCTGGTATCCACTGGATGTTAGTTATGTTACCAAAGTTCTGGTAGTAGCTTTTCCTCCCACATCTTCCCCTCTTTTGAAAAATGGCATTTCTTGGATTTTATTTCTCCCACTTCAGCCTTTCTAAATATTTTACACATTTATTTTGCATGCTTGGGCTCTGGCTTTGTGAGACTAAAATGCAGATGTAATCAAAGTGACAGTGAAAAGCAAAACACCCACAAATAATAAAATGCAGCCAACAACTGTGCTGCACAGCAAGCCATATCTTAGTTGTTAGGGGAGTACAGGTAGTCCTTGATTTACGACCACAATTGAGGCCAAAATTTGTGTTAAGCGAGGCATTTGTTAAGTGAATTTTGCCCCATTTTACCACCTTTCTTGCCACGGTTGTTAAGTGAATCACTGCAATTGATAATTAGTAACCCGGTTGTTAAGTGAATCTGGCTTCCGCATTGACTTTGCTTGTTACAAGGTCACAAAAGGGGATCACATGACCCCCGGGACACAGCAATGGCCATAAATATGAACCAGTTGCCAAGGATCTGAATTTTGATCACCTGATCATGGGGATGCTGCAAAGCTTGTAACTGTGAAAAATGGTCATAAATTGCTTTTTTCAATGCTTTGAACGGTCACTAAATGAACTGCTGTAAGTTGGGGACTACCTGTATGATACTTCTAAAACTTTACTGTGACTAATTGCTTGAAGTAAAAGGTGCTGTGAAAGGATCAGGGAAAGGGCTTAAATTTGATACAAAACGATTGTCTTCATTCATACTTTGGAACTATTATTAAGTCATCTTATGCCACAATGTTCCCATTGTATGCTTACTCTCAGGAAGAAGGTGGACTCGTTCATCTAAGATCATAAAGTAGGGATGTCGTAGAGCTGATTCAGCAGAGATACGTTGTTTGGCTTCATACTTGAGGGAAAAAAAGGCTTGAGTCCACATTTGTACAGTGATTTTATACATTGTTCCCAGATGCTGATTCATTGTGTGGCCGCAGAATTTTTAAATAATTGAATCATAAATGATTGGTTGAACAGCATGATAGCAGATGCAAACTATTACTAGAAAACATAAAATGAAGCATTACTTTGCTAACAATACAATTTTCCTAATGTCATTTGGAGTTTAGTGGAGGTGTTGTACAAGTTGGATCATTTGTTTTAAGTCTGTCAAAACCTATGACCCCCAAATTCTTCTGCAAAATTGCATCCTGTCTGGTTTCTTCAGTCTGCAGCCATGCAAAACAACTGTACCTTAGAAAATGTATGTTTTTATTTTAGTTTTGGCTCAGTGCGGGGAAGTCAAGCAATTACTGCAGAGCTGAACAACATCTCCTACAAAAGCCAGAACAGGACAAAAGAATCTTGGCAGCAGAAACAACAAAGCAACACAATAATCAACAAATCTGAGACTTGGTAGCATCATAGATCAGACTTAGAATGGAGGAGCATTTATGCCTGTTCGCTGGATCGATTAGACATTCTATGTTCCTTTGCAGAAATCTTTGCTATTAAAATAAACCAGCTATTTTTGTTTTTCTGAAGCTGCCAATCTTATCGTTTGAGTTGCTTGTTTCCTGGCCAATTACAGTGGCATTATTGGTTCTGATGGGAGCTCCAAACTGTATTCCCCAGTTCCACTGGAATTATTAAACTGATTTTATCTCTTATAATATCTGTAAAACAGGGCTAGTTGACTAAGATCCAGAAGTGTTGTGGAGTGCAATCTTGAAACTTGATGGTTAAAGTAGCATCATTCTGGATAAACCTCATTCTACCCCATCTTTGCCACATGTAGCAATTGCAATTATTGTGGTAGGAACTTGCCAGCCATGTCATTTTTACTTATGCTATATCTACCTGAAAGCTGGGGTAAAGCTACTATACCCACATGGCAAGGTTGATAAATGAATTATGTTCCCAATGGCCTCAGCAGCCCTAATATCGTTCTTGTAATGCTGTATGCTAGGCCTGTTCTGAGTTGCATACTGTGGTACTTGTGTATTCGAGAGTCACTACTGTCAATATATGATTCAATTTAAAGTAGTTTTTGGCCTTTGGGCTACTCAAATATACCACTGCCAAGCTGAAACAGATGCATGTTCCATTTGAAAATTGAAGTATCTTATGAACACTAGATAAAGCTGTCCCAGCTTGGTTTCAAATGACTTTGTAGCCTAATATACCTATTGATTTTTAAAAACATAGGATACCTCCTTAACAGTTCTGATTAAATTCCTCCAGGACAATTTGCTATCTGTCAATAGATATCTATCCACTCTTGTAATACTGACTCTGATAATTACTCCTGAAGGGGGTGGGGGGGGGATCACAATCTCTTTGAAAGAGTTGATTCATGAGTTCTTCAGAACTCTCAGATCCTACTTAAAAGGCAAGCAGGGGATGTGGGCAGGACAGCTTTGGCTGGTGTGCCAGTTAGTCATTGATGATGATCACTCACACCAGATCGCACACAAAGCGCGTGCATGAAGAGAACCAGTGGTAACACGGGTTGGAACCCACCACTGACTCACACCATGATCACCACTGTAGTAGTAGGGCTACACATGCCATGTAGAGTTGCCTTTGGAGATGATCCAAAGCTGCAGCTGGTATGAAATACAATGGTTTTTGATGGGACAATTCTGTCAGGCCAGAATAATGCCTCTTTTGAAGTTGCTGTATTAGCTGTCAGTTGGCTTTCAGGTGCAATTCAATGCACTGATCAATATTTTAAAGCACCTCATGATGCAGCATTGGGATAAATCAGGCAACGCCTTACTGCACAGGTGTCAAATTCATCACGTTGCCATCATGTGATGTTTTTTCCCTTCGCAGAGCTGGGGTGGGCGCGGCCTACACATGACGCATCCAGTCCACGGACTGCCAGTTTGACACCCCTGTGAATCAAATCTGCCCATCTATCTAGTCACAGAGAGTGTGTTGCAGGTTTCTCCCTTGTAAATTTTATAGGGCATGAGCCAGGTACCAGGTCTTCTCAGTGATGGTCTTCCTTCTTGGAATACCTTCCCTCCCACAGTTAAGACCTTGCTGGAGCTCCATGAACAGATCAAAGCAATTTTATTTCAAGGCAAATTTGGCCCTTAGATTAACCTGCTTGCTTCTGTGATGTAACATATTTTTTACTAGTATTTTTATTTCATATATTTTTTCCTTTTTCCTTTTTTTTTGTATCCACACAAGCTACATTAGAATTGGGATGGGCTATAAATATTGTAATAAATATTTATTAAGTTGGAACTAGCCATCAGCTGTTTTCCTCTTTTAACACTTTTAGGTGCAACTTGAAATCTGCATAAAGATCTAGGAACCAATCAAATTCAACTGGCAACAGCTTCCTACAATTCAGTTTAAGACTGCCTAAATTCAGAATTTGGAGTTTAGCACTCTCTGGTTCTTTCTCAACCCTTTAGCCCTTTCTACACATGCATTCCCATACCCACCACATACACTCTGATTAATATTTAGCCTGAGAGAATTTTGCAACTGATGTTTATAAAATATTTTCCTTAATTAGTCAACATGGCTTCCTTTGCATAAATAATGAAAAATAAAGACCTAGATATGGACTCATTACCATTCCCAGTGCATTTTAAATGGCTGTTTTTGTCTTCTTCAATGTGAAGCAAGAACATTTAGAAACAGTGATTCAGAGAAGATCATTCAACTGTCAGGAAGAAGGGAAGGCTGAGAATGCAGCAAGATGATGCAGCTTTGTGAAAATTACTCAGGAAAATCAAGAGAAATGTGTTAGAATTCACCAGAAAAATCAAGCAAATAAATTTCTTAGATGATTGCTAACCTGATTTAGGATTTGGAATATCACTGTAATCATGTTTACTCTGGATCAAGACTGTAATCAATTTGCCTTGTGCGGCATGGGTTCTTCCTTTAAACTATTGTACTTACTCATACTTCAGAAACAAGATGATAAAATAAAATCATATTGATACAAAAGTTATTTGGTGACCACAAAAGATCAAAATGAGGAGAGGCCAGCACTACGCTTACTATTTTCAGCACCCATTTATAGAACTTCAGCACTCGGAATCTTAGCTTCTTTCACTTACAAAATAAAAACTGTCAACTATTTTCCAATAAAAAACAACAACTGTCAACTAGAAGAATCAAGGGGATCAGTAGTAGTAACAGTCTGGAAAGTTTTCTTTGGACACACAGACCCTCCATGAATTCCCAGGGAGGAAACCAAAGATACTGAATCCCTTCAGCACGTGGGAAGTAAGGATGAAGTATCTGAGGGTTGGGCTGTGGCATTTCTGATATCTGGCTTAGCAGGCAAGGTCACCTACCAGGAGGAGATTTGTCAAAAGGTCAATTCCTTCTGTGTCCAGCCTGCAAGAGAAGAAAGCATGGTTACATTTGGGAGACTCTTCAAGCAGCTGGTTCTTACTGCAGGACCAACACCTGAACACGTGACTCCAGCTCTGGTTTAAAAGGGCCAGCTTCAAAGAAAAATGACCCAGATCAATTTCCCCAAAGTTTGGATTCTAGATGGCCCCGTTAGGTGGTGATGGTGGAAACCGTAGTCCAATACGCCTGGAGGATAGCAGACTGCAGAAGCTACTTAAACAAAAACATTCATTTTATCAGTTGGCAATTTGAGTTCTTTCTTAAGGTAGTGATGACACAGTGCAGTAAAAAAAGCCTAGTCTTTGCAGTTTGAAATTCAAAGCACTACTGCCATCTAGTGGCAGTTTTAGAAAAGAAAGCCTGTCATTTCCCCAATCTTGGTACAGAGAATAAGAATGAAACATGTTGCATTTGGAGAAAATTCCTCTATGTTCACTGAGGGCAGTGCAGACAATCAACCAACTTTTCCAAGAGTTCTTTATATCATCATTTATTCTCTGTGTCTCTTTCTTTAGTTATTTCTAAGAGGACTGCTGATATTTTGCCTCTTGCAGTACTTGCAAACAACAGCTATGATCCATAATAAATTGGCCTCTCCTTGATTCTGCCTCTACCTGGGTGCATGATTTATCAAGGGTTGGGCTCGATATTGTGTGAACTGGTAAGCTTTGAACTCCTCATTGGATGTGATGCCTGGCCAAGATTCTTCCGTAGGAGTTCCTGCAAGTGAAAAAAAAAAAAAGGATTGGATTAACATTTTTTCTAGATCCACATGCAGCATGGCATGAGGTGGCATATATCTATCTATAATGGGATTTAGATCTCTGAAAATTTCAAATAATAAAACTAAGAAATTCCTCTGTAGGATAGGGCAATGTAGAAATTCAAGGAAAGCAGTAGACCAGTGTTATTTATCCTTGGCACTTTGAAGATGTGCTGGGGAATTCTAGGAGTTGAAGTCCAGACACCTTCACGTAATCAAGGTTGAAAAATACTGCATTAGATTGGTAACCTATATTAGCACAGGTTGATAATATGTAATGGTTAACATTTAATAGTAATGGTTATAGATATGGATTTACCATTTCTACCATCCTCAGATCCTTTCAGTAAGAAATACCACACAATGAGTCTGATAAATTGTGCCCACCCCCAATTTATCCATCATTTTGCTATGGCATCTGCCTTCTTTGAAAAGAAGAATGGAACTCCTTCCCTGTAACTCCTGCAGTCCATGTTTTCTTATTCCAAATACCTGCAGTTTTTATCTCTGTTTTATTTCTCTGCCAACAATTGCTTATATAATAATATTATATAATAATATTCATGATTTTTTTGAGAACACAAAGCATGAATATGAAGTTAATTACACAAGTGTACCTATTTGGTAAAATACAATCTGAAGGCATCATTTGGGTTGTCTTGCTACAGCACTGTTTCTTGAGAAGAGTTCCATGTACTCTAATCCTTCCCTGCTAATTTGCATATTGTCATTTAAAAAATTGATTTTTTAAATTTTATTTATTTATTTATTATTTGTCAAACATGTAAGATAACAGATATAAGTATAAACATGATTATGAAAACAGGATAAGGATACGGATAAATTGGGACAGTAGGACAGGTACGGAAGGAATGTTTGTGCGCTTATGCACACTCTTTACAGACCTCTTAGGAATGGTCAACAGTAGACAGTCTAAGGTTAAAGTTTTGGGGGTTTGGGAAAGTAACCACAGAGTCAGGTAGTGCATTCCAGGCATTGACCATTCTGTTGCTGAAGTGGTATTTTCTGTAATTGAGTTTGGAGCGGTTTACCTTAAGTGTGTCTATTGTGTGCTCGTATATTGTTGTGGTTGAAGCTGAAGTAGTCATTGATAGGTAGGACATTGTAGCAGATAATTTTATGTACTATGCTTAGGTCAGACCGAAGGCGGCATAGTTCTAAATTGTCTAAGCCCAAAATTTCAAGCCTGGTGGCATAAGGTATTCTGTTGGAGGACTCTTCTCGTGAAATATCTCTGGACTCACTCAATTGTATTAATGTCTGATATACAGTGTGGCAGTGGTGAAATGTAAAATTTGTTACTACCGGTTCTGTGGGCATGGCTTGATGGGGGGGGGGGGTAATGTGACTGGGTGAGCATGGCCAACTTTTTTTTTTTTACTTTTAAAAGCATTTTTTCGGCTGAAGAGGTTATAGAAAAAACGCTTTTAAAAGTTAAAAAAAAGTCTCTGATGATCGCACGGCTCAGCTGGGCATGTGTGGGGAGGGCAGGGATTTTTGCTACCGGTTCTCTGAACCACCCGCCACCATCGCTACCGGATCGAGTGATCCGGTCCGAATGAGGAGCATTTCACCCCTGCAATGCGGGTTCCAGGCAGATGAGCTGTATTCGATAATTGGTCTAACAAAGGTTTTGTATGCTCTAGTTAGCAGTACAATATTACCAGAGAAGAAGCTATGCAAGATTAGGTTAACAACTAATTGCATTATCTCCTGTTCAATACAAAAACAGAATGAAGAAGACTCACCCAACATTCTGAATATTAAATTAAGTTCTTCTTTCACAGTGGATCCTGGGAACATTGGACGTCCTGTGACCATTTCATAGTGTATGCAACCCACGCCCCTAGAAGGAGAAGTTTTATGAAGTTGAACGGAACAATGTGCTGTCTCCTAGGTTGCCTTGTCTACCTCTCATTAATTCAGTGTCTGAAGAGGATGCTGAATCCTGAATGACCCCAGAAGATCAGGCAAGAATGATCATTTTTTCATATTGAATTGCTAACCAGACAAGAGAGGTTTTAAGGAGCATGAAGGAATGAGCCACAAAAATCTAATTTCTTCCATCCTCTGTAGCATCCTTCCCCTGAGAGTTTGATTCTGCTAAGTGGGTACTTGCAAACTGCACTGCCATCTTATTTAGAAGATGGTCTGTAACATTATGAAGGCTATGCCATCAGCATGCTGTGGAATTTGGAAAAAGCATGTATTGAGGGAAGCCAAACTACGATTTCCTAATTTTAAAAGGAACTATAGGAAGAACAATCATTTTCACCCATGCACAGACATTAGGCTCACCACATGTCTATGGGAGTGGAATATTCTGTAGATCCTAGTAGGACATCAGGAGGTCGGTACCATAATGTGACCACTTCATTGGAATATGTCTTTGTTGGGACAGACTTGGCTCTGGCTAGCCCTGAGGATAAAACAAATGCCTGTGAGATTCAGCTGCAGCTATTAATCAAGACTTATATTAAATCCATATTTCTTTTAGAAAAACAAACCTGTTTTTACAAAGAAAAGTCCTATGTAACTCAATGCTTGGAACAGTGGTGGACATCACAGTTATGTGTGAGCTATTTAATTTGATTGTTTCACTTAGAGAACTAAGTTCATTAAATCCAATGGAGCTTGTTCTCAGTAACAGAACAACTACAAGATGCTTCTGAAAAAAAGTTTCTTACAATCTCATAACTTGCATAAAAGTCCAGTTTATTTGTAAATAATATACAGGAAAATATTAGAGAAAAAAAAGGGGGGGGGGGAGGTTTCTTGAGATGTGTGACCCTAATATTGAAAGCATCCATCAAAACTGTTCTGAAGGCCAACAGATTAATTATTTGCCCCCCAAAAACTTAGGGAACGCATGGGGATCCTGCTAGGTGGTAGTATGATATTAGCTGATTGCTATTTTCCATGTTATTTGCTTTTCCATGCTTTTATTTTGATTTATGTTCAGTATTTTAAGATTGGCTATCTTGTTTTAATTGTTGCTGTGTTTGTATGCTGCCCAGAGTCACATTATGTGAGATGGTTGGCCATTTTAATTTATCAAATGAATAAATAAATGAATGTCATTACTCTGAAAGCCAAGGAGATGGTCTCATTCATTAACTTACCAAAGTCAGCAAGTTTTAGTTCTCCTTTTCCATTAATAAGCAGATTCTGTGGCTTGAGATCTCTGTGTAGGATCTTATGTTGATGGCAGTAGGACAAACCACGAAGCAGCTGGAACATGAAAATCTCGAAGCAAGAGAAGATCAGAGAAGAAATAATTGGTAACATTCACAGTTTGTTTTTAGGAAATGCAGATTTCTGAACCAGATGCCTTCCAGATATGCTAATGACCAAGTGTTGGGAATTATGCAAATAGTAATCCAATATATTTCCAGGACATCAAATAGAGAAAGGATGCACAATTCTCTCATATGTTTATTTTGCAAGAGAAGCCTTTGCAAAGGCCAATCTTTCTATCCATCTATCTGTCTACTCACCTTCACATTGTACATGCTCATCAGATTCCCACAGTTATCTAGGTACTGTTTCAGGTCGCTGTCCTGCAAAGATAAGCATGTCCTGAGGGCATAACTTGCTATGAGGAATGAGATGCCCACAATTTCTTCAGTATTAGAAAATGCAAATCAAATTATGTTTCCCAGGACTCAGACAATATATGTTTGCAACTAATTATTACCTCCAACAAAACATAGAGTATAGTAAGGCTTATTATACACCTCTGAACAATGCAACCTTTTTAGAGATTTGTTGCATCATGTAAAATGAATATGCTGGTGCAAATAATTGTAACAGGAGATAAAAAGCAGTTCTTCTAGCAAACATACCCAATCCAGATGCTATTTAAATGTTTCCTGATAAACACATCTGTTTCAGAAAATTCAAGTTTTCCCAACTCTAAACCACATTTTGCTACTGCTAAGAAAATGCCATTTCTTTCTGCTTTCTCTTATGCACACATCATTTGCAATTACTATTTAGGGCAACTCTCTTTTCTAAAAGGCTTGGCAAATGCAACAGGACTGAGTACATACTATGATTGAGTAAACAAAACTGCTATCTGTGCTACCTGGAGTACAATTAAACAATGTCTGGGAACAATAAGTGAACATTCTCCAGAGAACATTTTCTAATGGATGCTATTGATTAGCTAAGAGTTAAAAGAAAACCAAGAACCTCAGTACTGCTCAGAACGTTACTGATGCAGGCAAGCTACCATGCACGGTGCCTTAGCCAGCCATACTTTCCCTTAGAAAGAGATCCATAGACTTACCAGATATTCAAAAACAAGAGTGAGGGAGCATTTTGTGTGAATGATATCGTGGAGAGTCACAATGTTGGCATGCTTTAGATTCTTCAGTAAGGAAACTGTAAAACAAAGCATAGCTGTATCAATCACGCATCATCTGAAGGTGTTGGAGATGTGAGTTGGAATCACAGGCTCATCCATACAGACTGGTTGGACTACCAGTTACATAATTCCCAGGAAACATGAGGACAAATTATGAGACGTGTAATCTAAGGCATCTGGAAGAACCATGTTAGGGAAAATTGGCAACATATGAATTCTTAGGAATAGACCTAGAAAAATTAGCCTGACTAAGACACTGAGCTTGTCGATCAGAAAGGTAGGCAGTTTGCTGGTTCGAATCCCTAGTACAGGTCTCCTGTGTGAGCAGGGGGTTAGATTAGATGAGCTCCAAGATCCCTTCCAACTCTGTTACTGTTAAAATAGTTGCTATATGTTGCTAACAGGGGTCTGAAACCCCAAGCCTGCATCTTACCTTCCCGTATAGCAGTGCAAGGTGCCCCTTCTTCATGCTCCAATCTGATCTCCTTCAGCGCAACAAGATTCTTGGTGAGTTTGCTGCGTCCTTTAAATACAGTAGCATAAGTGCCCTGTGAAGAAAGCAGCAACAAAAGTAAGTAGTGAAAAATGCAATATATTTTTACATCTCTCTCTTTCTCATTCTGGGCCTCCTTAACTTAAGGAATTCACTCCTTAAACTTTTTAAAATTTCAATTAAAAAAATTCTCCATTGTCACCATCTGCCAAACAAATGCCACAGAAAGGCTGGATCTAATTTATTGTTAGATTCCCTCCCCCCCACATTTAAATATATATATATATTTGGTCAACTCAAAGTGGCGAACATATCTAATACTCCTTCCTTCTTCTATTTTCCCACAACAAAAACCCTGTGAGGTTGGGCTGAGAGGAAGTGACTGGCCTAAGGTCACTCAGCCATCTTTCTTTCTTAAGGGGGCCTAGAATTCACAGTCTCCTAGTTTTCCACACCAGACCACAAAAACAATTTTGCTATTTTTGTCCTCCTGTCCATTCTAATAGGGAAAGAGCATTTAATTTAGGAAGCACACTCTGAATGCACATGATGAGTGGCAGAGGTCAAAATCTTTGTGTCATCTGGTGACAAGCATGGCATGTGAACTGCAACATGGACTATAAAAGGAATAAATGCCAAAAGGCATGAATTAACTAATGAAATAAAAGGAAAAATACGTTATATGAAACTATAAAGGAATGGATGTAATAAACTCTAATGAAGGTAGTCTGATATGCCCCAAGTCACCCAACGGTAATTATTATTTTTTAAAAATGCAGATAAATCCTATAGTGTTTAAATTCAGTTCAGAATTAGAGAGATTTTAAACATGTGAACTCCTATATGTCAAATGTCAGTCTCCCAAAGCAGACTGCAAAAGTAAAAATTATCACAAAAATACAATAGGAACTTGCAAAGGATGATGGATGGGACTGATCATTCTTTGAGATTATTCTTACCTCCCCCAACTTTTCCAGTTTAACATAGGTTTCCATCTTTCCAAACCCGATGTCTGACTACCATAAAAAAAGGAGAGAAGTATCAGTACAAAATGCAACATTAAGAAACTCACAACACAGGTCAACACATATCTATTAAGAAGTCTCTAGCCGATTGGATTGAGTTCCCGGAGAAGCTTACCAATAACAATTCTGTAAAAATGTATTGCTTAAAATGAATTCTCTGGGAAATAAATGAATAAATAAATGAAGACAGGTTCTTGAACTCACAGCTCAGCATCAGTTACAGAGTCACCAGTGAATTGCTGGTAAGAACCGGCCCTTTGACTTTCAAGAATCTGGAGATCACTTCCTTCTTTCCCACTGTGGAGCTTAAAACAAGACTGCACACGTTCTTGTCTTTGCTTGGGGTATTTTGCAGAAAGCAATATTTCTCATATTTACTACTCAAATGACCTGTTACTTTAGTCAGCACATGCATCAATTAAAAGGGAGGACTGCCTGGGTGATTCTCTCCTTTGAAATATAAAATATATTGATCCAGGAGTTAAGGTATTTTATTTTATTTTATTTATTTGTCAAATACGTATAATAGATGTAAGTATAAACATGATTATGAATACAGGATAAGGATATAAATAAATGGGGACAGTAGGACAGGGACGGTAGGCATGTTTGTGCGCTTACAGACCTCTCAGGAATGGGGTGAGGTCAACAGTAGACAGTCTAAAGTTAAAGTTATGGGGATTTGGGGAAGTAACAACAGAGTCAGGTAGTGCATTGCAGGCACTGACCACTCTGTTGCTGAAGTCGTATTTTCTGCAATCAAGTTTGGAGCAGTTTACCTTAGGTTTGTATCTATTGTGTGCTCGTGTATTATTGCGATTGAAGCTGAAGTAGTCATTGACAGGTAGGATGTTGTAGCAGATAATTTTGTGTACTATGCTTAGGTCAGACTGAAGGCGTCTAAGTTGTCTAAACCCAAGATTTCAAGCCTGGTGGCATAAGGTATTCTATTGTGAGCAGAGGAGTGGAGTACTCTTCTCATGAAATAACCAAGGTAACCAGACTAATTTGCCAGATATTCCCCTGACCCCTTGTGTGACTGATACTAAAAGGCACAAATGGTGCTGGTCTCTCACAAACTCTATTCCCACAGAATATGATAATGTTTGGAAAAACTAACATTATCTGCTGTGTTTAGGTTAAATTTTATTCAGCAAATACGGTGTATGTTTCCAAAACAATATATAGCAGTAATGAAGATGAGAGATTCGTGGATAAATCCTTCCAGGCTGCTAAGAGGTTTTCTATGTGGAAGTATTAAAGATGCTTGGTTCATATTTCCCACTTTAATATATTTACTATTCAACAGCAGGTGGTGGTAAAGACACAATTTTTAAATAACAACAACAATAACAACAAGATTTTAAGAAGTATTTCATTCTCAGTTCAATAAAGAAGTGTTATTAGCTGGATTAGAACTGGAATTTTGCATCTCTTGGTGAAACTGATACTCTATTTCAGGCAGTTTTTGTTTAGCAACCACAATTGGAACTGGCAACTTGGTCATTAAGTGAAGTGGTCACTAAGTGAAACTGTGACTGTGCTTCTTTCCTTCAGCCTTCCTTGGATTTACAGACCTGCAAAGATCGTACATTCAAGGACCTGTATCAGAAAGGAAAACTATTAAAATCATTATGCTACATTACTGTGAAAACATTTAAATATTTTCTGTTAAGCTCAAACTGTAAGAATTGAGAGAAACTCTAAGCTGGGGTATCGAACTCGCGGCCCGTGAGCCGGATGCGTCACACGCTGGCCACGCCCACGCCCGGTTTAGCAAAGGGGAAAAAAGACATGATCTGTCACGTGATGCCGCCGTGACGACACGAGTTTGACACCCCTGCTCTAAGCAAATCTCAAGCCAGTGTTTGCAGTGATGATGTACCATCTGATGACCTTTCAACCGAAACACAAAACTCTGAGCAAAACTGTGGAACCTCTAGAGTTCTTGAGACTCACCAGAGATGCCCGCCGAGACATCCTGCTGAGAGGCTTAGAAATCTCTGGATTTTCCATTTCTAGTTTTTGGAGGAATTCTGGGGGCAGGTTAATATCCATGGGCAGAGAGAGACGCTTGCTGACATCCTGAGAAGAAAAATAACACACCACATATGACAAGATCTTCCAAACTGGATAGTGGGATCTAACTACGAAATGATACAAATCTACCATTAGCTGTTGTGGGAGCAGCTTCTAGACATGAACATATACACAATTATTATATAACAAAATACACCACATGTTAAGGGAAAACCAGACAGGCCACTGATATTTGAGGTCAGCTCACTTCGGTGTCAAGCTTTCAAATTTATCTTGCTATGTTTAAAGGGAGGAGGAGGCATTTCCCAGAACTCCATCAGCATCATTTCTGCCACTGGGCAAAGCTTGTCTATTAGTTTGCAGGTTACCTCCATAGAAAAGCGGCGCTGGTTGCCATTTCGGTAGTACACAGAAGTTGGGGACCGACCTTCCGAAGGTGAGGCAGAACTGGGCTGCATTCGGATATCCTTATTCAGGTGAGCCAGATGTAAATGTCCTTGTGCCATATCTGATCAGAAAGGAAGAATAAATAGCAATTTACTAGGTGACTATAGAGACTGGCAATGCCAGGGACAGTGTGTGGCTGAGATAAATACAAAGCAAACCAGAGCAAGTTTAAAAATTTAAATCAGCTGGTAAAGTATATATCATAAAGAAGGAGAGACAAACAAACAAATCCCCCCAACTTTGTGTAAAAGCCCTTAGAGGCCAAACATTAAACATTAATTAAACATTATCCAAAATGTTCTGCATTTGCAGACCTCTATCTCAATCTGATGTTGACATATGTGCACATGTCTGTATGCACACATGTATACATACACTTAGCATATTTAACTGTCATTTTGGAAGTGAAGGTCCCCTTTTCTGACTGAAATACTTCAGTGCTTTCACCAGAGTTCAAGGAATTTCACAGATTCACATTGTGTTCCATATATGCAAGTCTCTTGTGTTATGTTGCAATGTTGGTATACATCATGAGCTAAATATATTTCATCAGGGTCTGATGATTGAGTATGCACTTTTCAGATTTTCTTAGTAGTCTGTGTATCATATACTATACAAATGCTTTCAGGGTTTCAGGTAGTTTGGAACTGCTTTAACTGTGGGGATTATGTACAAGGAAAAAATACATTCATACCCCATCTCAGTATTAAGAGGGGGTGTTGGACAACCAGATATCAGAGATCCCATGTGAAACACAATAAAATTGTCTGACTAAGGTCCATGATGTAGAGCAGGGCTGTCAAACTCCCATGCCATGGGTCGGATGCGTCATGCGTTAGCCACACCCATGCCGGGTTAGCAAAGGGGGGAAACGTCCCAATTCATCACTTGATGCTGTGATGACGTGAGTTTGACACCCCTGATGTAGAGGACAGACATAGATCATGCCACACTGAATCCCCGTCTTTTCTCCAGGACAAGATGGAAACAGCCACCTGTAAATTAATGTAGCAATTTCCAAGCTGCTGAGACATCCATCCCATAACCAAACTCCTCAGTTCTAGCTGAGGACCTGAGCCAAATAGGATCATTGTCATGTCATGTAAGTAGTTAGAATGTAGGGGATTAAATTAAATATTAGCTGTGCATACTTCAATGACTTTTCTGCTTGTCATTAAAACAGCCCCCTTTTCAGACTTCTGTTTTAAAGTCACAGAGACTTGAATGACTATTCCCTTATATTTGTGAGAGGTTCAAAGATTATTTTTTTTCCAAATAGCTTTTCAAGTGTATGCACTGGTCCCATATCTACCTCTCCACTTGATAACTTGTTATGCTATTGAGAAAAAAAAATGAAGCGTCTCTAAGAAATATAAGTGATCTCTTGAGAAAGTAGTTCTGAAGTGTTGTTGAGCCACAAATGGAAAATGAGATCTGAAAGAAAGGAGCCTTCCATGTGTAACTACTTCTTCATGGTTCACAATTTGATGACTGTTGTTAGGAGAAGGGAGACCCAGAGGGGAGTTCAGCAAAACACTTCACTATTTTTGTGAAGCGCTTCATTAAAAACATTTTCAGAATTGGCAGAGGCATTTCTATGAAAAGCATGCAACTAACAGAATGTTTCATTATTATAACTCTCCTAACAGTGCTGTACCAGTTGCTTTTCCAAGCCCTTCTACAAGGTAATATCAGATTCTTTTACAGGAGACAGAAAAGATAGATGCAGGTCAGGAGTGGGTTCTACTTACCTTTACCACCAGTTCGCAAAGCGATAGCATGTGCAGATCACTGATGATGACATCTGGGGCAGTGGGCGGGGTCTCCTGCTGGTTTTACTACCGGTTCTTGAGAACCACTCCGAACTGGGGGGCAACCCACCACTGATGCAGGTATACACAGTTTGGGTGCAGGAACTACTACTAAAGCATCTTTGATAGATGTTTATCCAGCTTCTTAAGAACTAAGGATATTCTTCCTGGTTTCTAGCCTGAATTTACTTCCTTTTAGTATAAACCAAGGATCTCCAAATTTGGCAACTGTAAGATTTGTGAACTTCAACTTCCAGAATTCTGGAATTTGAAGTCTACAAGTATTAAAGTTGCCAAGTTTGGACATGCCTGATTAAAACCATTGATTCTGGTTCTGCTCTCTTGCACAATACAGAATATAGCCACTCCCTTTTCAATGTGACAAGCCTTCAGATATTAAAAGATTGTAATCACATCTCCCATCAGCCATCTCTTCTGTACATTCTGATCTTTTAACTTTTCCTCATATATTTTGGTTTCTAGATCCCTTTTTATCTTGGTAACGTATTATATAAACTCTTTAATGCTATTAATGGTGGGAAAATGAACAGAAAACAAAAGCACCCCAATTTTTGTAGATACTTTTAAAGAAAGATCTCAAACACAGGTTAAAATTGTAATCAAATAAGCCACCCAGACTTTTACGCAGCTGGGTGGCCATTAAATTGAGTGAATGAATGGATGCCAACCTAGCAGACAAACAGTTCTTTAGTCTAATCCAGCACAGTGCTTTTTATATTTTTATGCTTTGTGTGAAATGTTTTTACTTAATCCAGTATATAATTTGATTGGACAAATCTATCTTAATAATTTTAGTGCAGGTGAAAAAGTATTTTAGAACAAATGTAAACACTGATTAAAACAACAGGCAACTAAAAAGTATTAGTAGAGCGAACTGAACCGAAGGAGGGCTGGTAAAGGTCTCAGCTGCATAAAATATACATCTGTAACTCCTGTTTTTTTCACAAAGATGGAAGAACAGCATGGTGGCCCAGGGGTGAAATGCTACCGGTTTGGGCCGGTTCGCCCTGAACCGGTAGTAAAATATGCTACTGGTTTGCCAAATCGGTAGTAAAAAAAAATGCTTTAAAAAAGTAAAAAAAGAGGTTCCAATGATCGTGCGACATAGCTGATTCCCCCCTCGCTGTTCTACTTACCTTCCCAAGCCTCCTTTTGGTGCGTACTGTGCATGCGTGCACAGTGCACATTTGATGTGAGCTGTGCATGCGCAGCGCAAACTTGGCACGCAGCATGCATGCACAGCCAGCAAACGGGTTCAGATTTTACCCCTGTGATGGCCTATACTTTGTGCTTGTTTCTTTGTTAGAATTACAAAGAAATTTGTTAGAATCCTTCAAGATTTCAAGAGTTTACATGTGGATCTCCCTTCATTTTATTTCCATGACAGCAGCCCTGTGAGGTAGGCTAAGGTCAAGAAATATCATCAGTGACAAAAATATGCACTACTTGTACTAGTTTTCCAAACTGCAGTACCGTATTTCTACGTACGTCCTTGTGATCCAGGGTTTTAAATTCTAGACCATTTCTAAGAAATATCAAAGCATTGGTCAATTGTTCTTAAAACATACTGGCAGATACTTTCCAGAATTTTGTAACAGAAATATTTTTGAGTCCTACCTGGAGATGCTCAGGATTGAACATTTTTTAAAAAAAATTCTGGCTCTTTATGCAAGTCTTTGGATGGTTTAATGCATAATTATCTGATTCATTTAAGGAATGGGGGGATAAAGTTCAGAATTGTATTCTTTGTTCTCTCTTCACTTCTTCCACTGAGAGTCATGAAGATGAAATAAGTGCACAAAATGTAGATTATGGTACAGTACTAGAAACCATTTTGAGTAGCTACTGAAGGTTGGCCTATCAAGACTTCTTAGCTACAACTGTTGACAGTGTGATTTTAACACTAATGTAAGAGTTGACCTTCCAAGTCTTCTTGGAATGTTCTTCTTTGTCTGAAATGGTATAGGGCTTCCTGCCTGAGCAGGAAATAGAAGACCTCCAAGTCTCTTCCAACTCTGTCATTCTGTTATATTGTTAATTATAGTTTTTAATGTGATGAATTGCACCCAATCATACTTTTACATTTTTCGTCTATCTAATGATTCTGTTTGATTTTTTTCATTGCCATTTGTTTTAGTAAAGCAAAGTGCTGTCACATCCATTTTTCTCTGAATATTTTATGAAAAGAGGACTCCAGTTACATTGATTTCTTTGAAGGATATCAACTTATAAAATTTATTTATTTATTAGCCTTGTTTCCCTAGAAGTTACCTAGGATGGGCAGCAGAACAATGCTGTCTATGCACCAACAATACAATATTAGTTTAAGAGGTGCATCATAAAGTCAACAAATTAAATGAGAGGAGGGAAGAACTGCTGGATCAAAAAAACACATTTGAACACAGCTCCAAATAAAGTTTCTTTCTCTCCATCCCCCCTTCCAATTCCTACAGCTGCCTCTGGCTCTGGCTGCTTTATTTATCACAGAAATGTAAGACATAGTACGAAAAGGCCAAATATCAGCATGTGGATTTCTGAGCAAACAAAAATACAATGTTTAATTTGTCTAAAACATGCCCTCCTCCTAGGCTTGGCTTGCGGCTTACAATTCCACCAGCTGAGAGTTACCTCCCATGGCAAGCATGACTTTCTCTACCAGGAGAGTTGTCCAAATTCTGATAAATCTGCAACTATTGCACAGCTTAAAACAATAGTCTGCCTTGATTAACTCATCTCACGGGACTAAAAATCTGCAAACTAACTTAAAAGTAGCTGTAGTTCTCAAATGTTGGTTTGCCTCCATCCATTTGAAGCAAAACCATTCCTGAAATGTTCAATGTAAGAACAACGTACAGAAAATATATAATCTGCATTTATAATATATATATAAAATATATAATCTACATTTAGAATTACAAATTTGGGGAGGCTTTCAGACATCTAAACTGATAAGTTTCTAGATTCCATGGATGTATGAGGAGCAGGCAGAGCAGTGAAAAGGTTTAATACCAGCATCAGATGTGTGGCACACAGTTTCTACTAGTATGCAAAAACAAAGGGAAAAAATCCAGTTGATCTAGGTTTCCTGAAAATAATATATATAAATAATATATATATATATATATATGCGCATGAGAGATGTTACCCCAGTTCAGCTCTGCTGCACATGTGCATGTGCCTCCCGCCAGTCAGCTCGTCTTTGGGTCTCTGTCGTGCATGTGGGGGGGGGGCTGGGGCATGTGTGGGGCATGCGTGCACACACAGGGGGTGGGGCACATGTATGGAGTGTGTGCATGGGGGTTGCACATGCATTGCATTTTGGGGGTTCAAGCGTGCAGATGCACATTTGCGCACGCATGCATGCACTTTGGGTACTTGGTCTGGAAAAGGTTAGCCATAACTGCGCTAGCTGTCTTAGGAAATAGTACAGGTAGGCTTTATTTAATGTCTGCAATTTTTTCCCATCTCTTTGCACTTCTCCTTTTCTTTATTTTTAATATTTTTCTTAGTTTGTATTAGTATTTTATCTTTGCATCTGGAAACTTGAATAAAATTATTTAAAAGAGAGAGAGAGAGAGAGAAAGCGAGACATCACATGACTGCAACTTACAGTTTCACCACCAGCTTCTCCATGGACTCCTTGTCCAGAACCTGGCAGTGAAGTTTGCAAAAGGTAATCATGTGACCAGACTCAGTGAATGTCATAAATGCATGCCAGCTGCAACACTCCCAAATGGCAATCATGTGACTGTAGGGATGTTGCGACAGTCACAAGCCTGAGGATCAGCTGTAAACCTATTTTTTTAGCTCTACTTTAAACAGTTTGTGAATGAGGCAGTCGACAAGGGAGGGCTATCAGAATAGACAAGAGAGAGGAGCGAATAAGAGAAACAACATTATCTTCTGCTAAAAGGCATAGATGATGTAACAAACATGGGAGGTATTTATGTCTTAACCGTTTTGGCCAAAGGATTAAGTGGACTTGAAGGCAGCCGCTGGGAGAACATTGCAGAGACCTGTTCAATTCTGTTTCACTTTTAATGTGAACCACAGAAGGCCTATGACTCAGCGTATAATGAGGGCGCATAAGGTATCAAAGTAAATGAAAAGGGAAATCACAAACATTCCTCTGCCTTTGATGAACCTCCCTCTTTTATCAATATATTTACTGCCTCTGCAAAAAACAAGCTTTGATCTCCTGGGGAACTAGGCCAGAATCTCCTTGCTTTGCTTGAATCAGAAGTCTTAATTACTTGGTTAAGCATTAACATTTCTGCTCAATTCTAAAGACCAAGCTCCACAAAAATATCCTTTAAGTATGGCCTATTCAATTTTATACCTATTTCTACTTGTACTCAGAAAAGCAGACCCCGCACTTGTGGAAATATGCTAGGAGGAGGAGGAGGAAGAAGGAGAAGGAGAGGAAGAGGAGGAAGAGGAGGAGGAATAATGCTTGTTCTCCAATAACTTTATCAATGACAAAATTTGAACTGACAGCAATATATTCCTTCATCTGTAGAGAACATAGAGAGGGGGGACAAAAACAAACAGAGGCCTAAACAATCTCCACAACTTGTCCAAGTTGATACTGAGATTTTATAGAGAAGAGAATGATATCTACACAGTCATGAAGCTTTGTTTTATGGATCTCAAAGTTCTCTAACTGAATGTGAATCACAAGGAACCAGATGACAAATAGCTTTTCCATATGGGATTAAGGCAGCAGAAGGTCCATTCAAAGGAAGAATTGAAGGCACACTTTCATAAATGGTTGGCAATTCTGAAAAAAAAAAAACACAACCCCACAACACCAGCTTTACACCAGCAGGCTGTGCCAAATCCAAGGTGACACTGCCTGGAACTCCTTGTGCCCAGTCAGAAAATTATTTGATTTTCCTTTTGTATGTTCTAGGCTTTTCCTGTGCACATTATCTTAGTCAAATGAGATTATCTGAAAGAGTAGAATAAAGCAAAGCAAAGTTTAGGTCTGATATGATTTTTCAGACTGATAACGTTGGTTAAAGTCTAGTTATAAATAGGAGTAATTAATTGAAAAAACATATCCGGTCCTTATTTTGCTACAGCAGTGAGTTCATATGCAGAAGAAAAAAAATAGGTACATGTAACTGTTTGTTTAAACATACTGTCTATACCCCATTCTTCAAAACAATCCAAGGGACACTTACAAAACATCAACACTAGAATAAAAATAATATAAAATTAAAAGCAACATATCATTCAATTACTGGCTGGCAGACAAACAATTTTGTATTACATTTTTTTGTACAGAGTCTGAAGGAATTTTTCTGTAACATTGCATTATTATAGAAGCTTAGTGATAATTATTTGTACAAAATTCCTTTTTTTTTAGTTTATTAATAGGTGCTGCTGGCACAAAAGTGAATAACAGAGAGGTAACATTTAAGGCAATTTTCTCCTGTGGATACCAGAAGAATACAGCTAACAAAACAAACAAATGGTTTATTGAATAATTAATCCAGAGCTCTTATTTAACATACAAATGATCATACTTTGGAGATATTATATGAAAGCTTAATTTTCTGGAGAAGTCTATCATGCTGAGAAATATGGAAAGAAAGAGAAGAACAATGAACAGCAAGGTTAATTGCCTCCATCATAGTTGAAAGGGATGTATGACTGAAAGATCTGAAGGAGTAATGTTGGGGATAGATCCTCCTGGAGAAAATCTAGCTAGGTGGACACTAAGAGTTGACACCGAATTGAGGGCACATAATCAATCAACTAACTAACCAACCAACCAATGCTTAATAGGAAGATTAGATTTCAATGGAAGAATGAATTTAAAGGTTTACAAAACTGAAACGTCTAAATATAACCAAGCATATATATTCAATTAATAAATATTTAACACAAAACTTGAAAAAGGTACAAGATTGTCCTCTCAACAATCACAAAACTTGTCATATTAGATCTTGACTGCAGTTTGCTTTTTGCAATATTACAATATTCAGTAGGCACTGAATAGCTTTGAACAATGCATTTCTTCTACTCTCACATTCAAATATAATTCATGAATTTATACAAATAAATTTATATAAACAAAATGGGAGAGAACTATTGTAGACTTCTCAGCTATACCTTGAACTTTATCTTACATTTGAGGTGCTTCCCAGGGACATCCACCAGAGGCTCAATGAATGGAAACTACTTGGAGAGATTATTCCATAATGCCCCCCCCCTTTTTAAAAAACTGATCTTTAACTTTCTAATTTAACTTTGTTACTTTTTAAATTAGTTGTGTGGTATTTCGTTTTGTGAACTGTCTTGCAGGGCCACAAGATGGCACAGAAATGTGTTTTCAAATAATCAAGTAAGCCATGGTATCCTGGTTCACTACCTCAGAATAGGGAGGTATGCACGAAACAGGAAATGTGCCGTGTTTCCAAACTGGAACAAACAGTTATATCTGAAATAATTGGCCAGTTGAAAAAGCCTAAATGTTTGGTTCCAACTCAAAACAAAACTCCCAGCAACTGTGTTGTTGTTGAGACCACTTCAAGGTTGTTTCTTATGGTTAAAACATTCAATTTGAAATTACCTGAGAACAGAATGCTTTCTTTCCAGCACTGAAGCAATATTTTCTGAACGCTCAAAATGGCTATTTCAAGCTCAAGATGTTTTGAATTTGAAATATCTTGCACTTCATAGATTGTGATGGTTAACAACAAGGCCCTGCTCCCATGAGACGGATCTCTGTAATCTGAGGACTTCAGCTGTTTCGTTTTTGAAATGGCTTTAGATACCCTAGATTACTCACTTAACATTTCATTCTCAACTTGTTACCTTCATTTTTCCTGTTGTTGAGTTGATTGAACTGCTCTGTAAATTCTGCCAGGGATTCCTCAATAGTCTCTGTCCTGGGAACTGAAAGGGAAAAGCGGCGCTTGAACGTTTTCATCTTGTTCATTTTATTCCGTAGAGCAAGTCAACAGCAGGATCTGATAGGAAAGAAAAGCAAAACGATGGCTCTCAGTTTATTCACAGAACTGCAACCAGGGATACAGAAAATGAAATTCTGATTTCCACTGAAACCACACTCACAGCAAATGGAATAATTCCCTCTTGCATTTCAATCAGCAGGGATTCATACATGAAAAGATGGATTCAGTTTACTGTGTCGAAGCAGACATAATGGTAGTTGTCAGAGTTCCAAGTAACAGACCCAGTGCAATCAAAACTCTGAGGCCAAGGTGCCAATAAATTCCAAATTTATTAGGCATGTCATATTGGCACATCTGGTGAAAACCTGACTCTGAAGGTCCCAAGGTTTTCCCCACCCAAATTAAAAATCAAAGTTCTTTCCCCCAGTCCCCATGTCCATCACATGGTCCAACCAGGTCAGTCCCAACTCCAGTTGGTTTCAGTCCATGCCTCCACAGCACCTGGTGAGAATGTCCTTGGTTCCCAGGAGAAAGAATTTTATTTTGGCTACAAGTCCCCAGTTATCTGGGGACTCCCCCCTCCCATTCCCACAGCTCCAACCAGTTTTGCTGTGGCAGCCCTTAAGATGCTCCAAAATGGATTCAGGGTTGACAGGTAGTATATACCCAGAATTTAGTCTGATCATTGAAAAAAGATGAGCTTATGCTTTACACCAGAGTTTTCTTAAACCTTAAGTAATATTTTTTTAAATAAGGACTATGACTTATTTAAATAGGGGAAAAAAAGTACCATTGGAATACATTTTTAAAAATTATAATCATTATTTTCCTTAAATACATTGATAAGTCCTAATGGAATCTGCTGGTGTAGTTCATCAATGTCTGGAGAAATATATCAGTCATTTTTGGTATTTGGTAGAGGCTACAGTAAGTGTGAAAAGCCACTTTTAGAAAGATCCACCAAAGCAACATGTAGTAGGACTGTCTATGCATTTTTATTAGAAACATGAACTCTTTGTGACCTTTGATTTACTTATTTACTTAGAAGATGTATATAGCTGCCCAACTCACATAATCATGACTCTGGGCAGCATGCATGAAATAAAGCCCCCCAAAGAATATTGCAAATAAAAACTATAACACAAAAGCCAACATTACAACCACATAGAGATGGGGATCACCAATCATACATTCCGTTTCTCAGAAATTGGGCTCATCTATTATCCTGGGCCAATGCCCTGGGAAAAGTTGATTTTGTAAAGCTTTCCTGAAGGCTAACAGGGTCAGGGCTATCCAAGTCTCAGGGGGGAAAGTGTTTGAAAGGGCAGGCACTGCATCAGAAAAGGCTTGTCTCCCAGGTCCCATCAGATAACATTGCTGCAAGATTGAGCCCGGAATATGCCCATCCCGTGAGACCATGTGGAATGAGCAGAAATAGTCAGGCAGTCCTGTAAATATTACAGTCCTGGGCCATGACGGGCTTTGTAAGCAATAACCGGCATCTTTAATTATATCTCAAAGCATATTGGGAGCCAGTACATTTAAAGATTTTCAGTAATTCCTTGCCCATCCCCAATTCTTTCAATGTAATAGCCCCTCTTTATTCAGGAATAATTACTTGTTGAATAGAAGTACTGAATGGATCAAAATTCATAAATAAACTTTTCTTGAATCTTGGTTTACAGGAAACTACTTTGCAAATTGAATTGGCAACATTTTCAAACATTAATGATGATTAGTTTAAATGAAGCAATACTTTACTATACTATACTATGCTATGCTATACTATGCTTTGTATACAAATTCTGACAAGACAGAGTCAACATATTGAAATTGCTGTTTCCAATTATTTTCGGTATCTTAAAGACAAGGGGGGAGGTAGGTTTGCAAAGTATCTTCCAGCTTTTCAGGAAAGACTAAGTGCTCCACCTGCTTTATAGTTTAAATAAATTTTAAATTTATTTAAAGAAGAAATAAATTAATTTCTTCTAAAATTTATTTACCTAAAGCTAGATTATAAATCCAAATAAAGTTATAGGACAGCTATTTGATGTTGTAACTATCTGTATTCAAAAATGTTCTCTGTGCAAATTTGGATTAGAGTAAATGGGCAAGTGTAGTGTTGAATGTTGCGTCCTTCTTCTTTCTCTGCTTGGTTTTTCAAAACCCATCTTATCAATTTTTCATTTAACTCAAAGTTAATAAGGTTATTAGTAAATCCACTGGTAAAAAGTCTTTCCCACATAGAAGAATAAACACATTATATTCAGGATTTGGAATTTATTCTGTTTTATTCTGATTCATCTAACCCAGTTTTGTCAGTATTGTCAGGGTTTTTATCACTATCTGAAGATGGAAGAGAATGAAAGTAGAATTTTTTTGCATGCAAAGCAGACATACTGCCATTAATAGATCACATTCTCAAAGAGTCAAAGATTCTTGAATTCTACCCACAGTATGTAAGCTAAATAAATTCTCTAAGACAAGACACTGCTAAAACTTAACACACTAGAACTAGTTCTAGTTTTAATGTAACAAAGATAACTAGAGCTTACTCTCTTCACCAGTCTTGCCCATTTACTCTAATCCAAATTTGCACAAAGAACATTTTTGAATACAGGTAGTTACAACATCAAATAGCTGTCCTATAACTTTATTTGGATTTATAATCTAGCTTTAGGTAAATAAATTTTAGAAGAAATTAATAAATGATAAAAAGTTCAGCACTTTTATTATGCACATAAAGATTGTTTGGGACTAATTTTGTAGCCTATGGAAGTTTAAGAAATATTAAGAGGCATTATCTTTTTCTTTTAGCTATGTAAAGCCAAATAAATAAATAAATAAATTTGCTCATTTTTATTCAAATTACCTGGATTCCCAACAAACCAATTTTCTGGGCCTTTTCTGAAGAAAGTCACCCTAAAAACAACAGTACAGTACTTGGCTAAAAGGATTACAGAAATCTAGAACTGGATCCATGGGTATGCAGGGATAAATACACCCCCAAAGTGTATTATCTGGGCAGTTTTGTTTTGTTTCAGCTGAGAAATAACTAACTGCGAGTAGAAAATGGCAAAAAACAAAACAAAACAACAAAACCCACCCAATCGTTCAGTGAAGAAATATTATTAGACTTAATAGCAACCATAAATGTGTATTTTGTGTTTCTGTTAATTAACTTTTGTTTCACAAAAGGAATGTTTCAGGTGTTAATAAGGGCAACTGCATTTAAGAAAGGTTTTCTGCAATCTTTTGCAGTCTCAGCACTATTGCTCAAACCACTTTCTCTCTATCCTTACATTTTATTATGCAGGAATTACATTTTTCTTCAGTGAAAACAAAAGTCTTACTTCACCCAACCTGTCATAAGGAAAAAAAGGCGCACAAACCCAATACCTAGGTGAGGGATATTTTCATGTGGTGGCTTAGATGCACATTTAAAAACTGTGTATATGTTATTTGTTCCAGCTGCAGTCCAGATGCTAAAGCTTTGTGTGTCCTTACTATCCCTTCTGAAATCTGGACTGGGAGTGGATATTGTGAACAGAGAGTTGTCTTTCACACATTGTCTACATAGACATCTTAATTACAAATGCTGATCTGCTGAAATAGTGAGCTAAAGTGCTGAAATATTTGAATAACAATAATATACCAATGTTTTCTTGTGGTTTCTTCTGCAAGCTGAACTATGTCAGGAAAAAAAAATCATATAGATGAATAGAGCATCAATTAACCTTATGATGGCTGGGTAAGTGAATGTTTGAGTTGTGTCGCAAACTATAATAAAAGGCTGGGCCATAGAATAGGTAGTCATGGGAACTAAAAAGGAGGTGACAGATGACAATTGAGGTGGTACCCTGCACCTGACCGAGAATGCAAGCAATGTTAGACTGTTGGATGCATATTAAGAGGAAAAGCTCTCAACTGCAGACACATTTAATTTCATATTAAATTTCCAAGGCATGGGGGAACTAGTTAAAGGGAAAGGGTCAAAAGGTTCAATTTTTTTCAAGGCATTTTAAGGTAACCAAGACCATACTAACAAGCGCTCAGCTAGAAAATACATTCTAAGTTAGAAAATATATGACGAAGTCCAACAGATGCCAGCATGGTTAATTAGCAGAATCAGAAAAGCTATAAAAAGCAAAGATTCATTTCAAATGTGAAGCTCTTATTCTCAAGACAACAAATTCTGGCAATACTAAGGTAAAGCAATAATATAACAAACAACAAAAACTAATAAAACTGAGCAATACACTTCTAAAAATATAAACACAAAACAAAAAATGTCTATAAATACCTTTAATTAGGAAGACAGCCAGTGATTTCCCCAATGAAACTGGCAAAATTTTTAAGACCCAGAAAAGAAAGTAGCTTTTTTTTTTTGAATAACACATAATAAACTTACGGAATTTGCTGCCAAGTAACTTCAATGGATTTAAAAGGGAGTTAAATATATCAATGAAGTAAAACCATGTTAATGTAAGGCTTTAGGAGTGTTACAAGTATATAAGACATATGTTGCTAAATACTTTGTACAGCAGGGCACTAGTAGAAGAGAAAAAATATCTTCAAATGGTCCTTGCAGTCTTTCCAATTACTTTGAAAAACAGGATGCTGGACCTTTGATCAGATCCAGGAAGGTTCTTATTATATTCTTACTGTTTATGTAACCTGCATCTAAGTTTATTTTGATAGACTTTAAAATGACAAACACATTAAAACTGCTTAGTGGAAATGGCAAGTAGATTAACAGAAGAACAACAGCACAATCAAGAAGAGAAAAAGATCAAGGATCTGTTGGGAGAATGTGTTATGAAACTAAGAGCACTCAGACCAGGGTGTGCAATATTTTTGGACCATGTACACAATTCCAACCTGAGACCTTGTGAGCAATTCATTCACAAAAGAATTCCTATGGGAGATCAGCCTTCAGATAACATCTTCCATGATGGATTTGGTCAGCCAACACCCTCTTAGCTCTTGACACTCTCAAGTACACTCAAGGACATGGCAAAAAAAGGCAATGCTGGGAGCTTCTTCATAGAAGCCTG